CCATCGAAAGCCACGTTGAAACAACAGCGGTTTTTAGCACTTTTTACGCCGTTCAGTTCTTCAATGTCCTTCGAAGGAAAGTGTGGGCGTTTTGGTCAACCACACTAATCAAAAGAGTTCAAGAGTCTAACGCCACGACGTCGGCCCTAGGAAGATGGCCACATCTGTGTATCAAAAGTCAACAAGATCTAAATGTTTGACATTGAGCTCCGGTTTTGCCAACCCAAGAAAATAAAAAAGTTAGGCATATGAAAATTGGTTTAAAGCATTTGATATGCCAATTGTTCAATTGATTTTTATTGATGTTTGAACATGACCGGCTTATCTTAAATGTCGCCCCCGCGGCACGTTAAAGTGATTGGAGCAACATAGATCTCCGGTCTTGACGGCCGATGCTATCATTTGTCCATAAAAATCTCGGTTTTCGAGGTGAAATTAGAACCGCAATGGAGATCGTAGATAATTGTGCTCTTGTGTCGTATATGGTGCAAAATTTTTTGATTGCCGCTGTCAATTGATTTAAAAGTCATTAGGAAGATGCCACTGTCGGCTTATTTAGTTTTGTGGTGTCGTTATCGTACACGAACCGAAAATATGCAGATACAAGGTTGCCGGTTTTGTTCTTTTTTTCTACATCGAAGAAACTTCGATAGTTTTGTTGTCAATGCAAAAGGTAACACGTATACTTCCTTTTCTTTTCCCGTTTTTCTTCTTTCTTATCCCTTTCTTTTCGACATATGAAACAAATCTCGACACAGCATGATACACGTTGAAAATATTCTCCTTCTATCACAAATCTAGTAAAATAGGATTTTGCTTTATCCTCTTATCGTCGAAAAATAGACATCGATGTGCACCTTCAATAAATTCCGATAAAAAGGCCGAATTATATAAGATAGAAAATTTTAGGTTCTCTACTCCAAGAGTACTGCGTCGCCACCTACGCCCAACCGATTACTTTATTTGCATCATTATGTACATAGAGTAAGCTTTAGTAACGCGCGTACGAGGGGAAACTCGGACGCTCATAGAACGATACGACATGGACAAGAACTTGACTCCAAGACGAAACTGTGCATTGCGATTTATATTAATTTCGTGTATGTCAAGATCATGTCAGTCTGCTCGACACTACCAAGAATGGGTTTTTGGCTTTTGTGGCCATTGAATTATGAGTTAGTACCACGAAAAATCTCAAATTGATATATTTATGACAATTCTATCAAAAATTAATTTTTGGATTCCCAAAAACTCTAAACCGGTACACTCGTAACATATTTACTTTTCGTTAACTTCTGTCAAATTTTATCGTGATGACAACGTGAAAATCCATATTAGTTTGGGGTCAATTTGTCATGTTTGGGGTTTTTGATGACTCAAAAATTAATTTGGGGTAAATTTATCAGAGGTATACCAGTTTGGGATTTTTCGTGGTATTAACCCTTAAATTATCTACTTAACGAAGGCTGGCTTTCTTTATTTTGCGGAAAATGAATGATTTGGAAAATATTTTTCAAAATATAATCGCTTGTATTGATTAAAATAATCTGTAATTGAATGATTTTTTCATTATCGACAACAATTTATATCTTAATAATTTCGCGAACGATGAAGATATTGGAAAATGAATGATTTGAAAAATATTTTTCAAAATATAATCGCTTGTATTGATTAAAATAATCTGTCATTGAATGATTTTTTCATTATCGACAACAATTTATATCTTAATAATTTCGCGAACGATGAAGATATTTTTCATCAATTTATTTTTGTAAGTGATTCAAGCGATTATTTTTTGAAAGATATTTTCCTAACCATTTGTTTTTCCACGAAACGAACGCACATGGAATCTTTTACGAGATTCGTGATTTAAGCACCTTCACAATTTACCTGTACCCGTGCTGATTAACTCGATTCTTCCGAGTCATTTATTGAAGATAGGGTTACTATCACGAAAAACTCCAAACCGGTACACTTGTGATAAATTTACCCCAAATTAATTTTTTGACCACCAAAAACCCCAAACTGGTACACCTGTGATAAATTTACCTAAAACTAATTTTTTGACCATCAAAAACTCAAAACTGATATATTTGTGACAATTTTACCCTCCGTTAAATTAGATTAATATCATGAAAAATCACAAACACGGAGGGTAAAATCCCAAACTGGTACACCCGTCAACTGCCACGTGTCATTCAACTTAGAAATTTGACGATAAAATTTAACGGAAATTAACGGAGGGTAAAATTGTCATAGATGTATCAGTTTGGGGATTTTATTGGTCAAAAAACTAGTTTTGGGTAAATTTGTCACAGGTGAATAAGTTTAGGGTTTTTCATGGTATTAACCCTTTAAGATATATTGGCAATATGATTCCATCCACGGGACATATGACTTCATTTTGAGAGCGTTTTCATCACTCTTTGAACCGACACGTACCGTCAATGGGGTGAAATATGAGGGCTAATCTTTAACCCGGCACGGTTTGCACGGATAAGCCCGGAGCCAAACGACAGCTCCTCCGCAGGGCCCGGCGTCGCGTGAGCATGTAGCAAAAGCCGCTAGGATTGTCCTCGTCCGCTCTTATATTCGAAGGCAGATCTGCCAGAACTCGGATCGAGTACACGATGTCACGTGCCGTCCCTCCATCCTTGCATTTCAACGCGAGTCATAAACCATCCTATTAAGAGACCGAGATGGTGTAAGATGAGTACGCACTCTTTATTAAAGAATCGTTCTATTTTCCTCCGATTAAGAATCGTGCTCTTCGATCCTCGAACATGTCCACGTGCCCTCTAGCGTCGTGCCGATCGGATATTAGGAAAAAAAAAAATTTCCACGATTCATGTCATAAACAAATCCAGGGGGAAAAAAAAAGGGGGTGCGCGATGAGAGAGAACTAATAGAAAATGATATGGTACATCTCCAAAAAGGCAAGAGAGGACTCATTTTTGATCACGCTTTCCAGGGCACTTTATGACACAATAGTTTATATTATCTTTGGTTTAGCTTTTGCTCCATCGAATTCAAAAGCTGCATTTCGACCCCAAAAAAAAAAGAAAAAAGGAATTTCAAAAGCCGCACGACCAAAACGGAAATCGTACGGTCCACCTTCTCCCGCGCGCAACGGACACGTGTCGGATTCTCGGCAGATTATGCGCCTTCGCACAAGGGGAAATCCTCAGCCACTAGAAGCAGATTCTTTTGTGCCCTTTTTCTTCTCCTCCTCCTTTATTTATTTTTTATTTTTTTAAAAAATAATTAATTAATTTATTATATTATTCTTTTACGAGTTTTTTTTTTTTGGTATGCTTTACACGCGCGATCGATGAGGAAGCGTGTGGGGTTTATGGAAACGATGATGATAAGAGTTGGTGGCGGGCGTCTCTCCTCACCGCTTTGCTTTTAAAGGGGGGGCGGGGGGGCCCACCTAGGGGGGGAATATGGATCTGACGTGGCGGGGGGGTGGGGGCCCCAGCCCACGAGGTTACGTGGCCGTCGGACGTTGACGTGGATTCAATGCAATGGGCCTTTGTCCTTTTCCTTTCTACTACGAGGAAAAGGTTCCTCCTCCTTTTTTTTTTTCTTTTCCAGATTTCCCCGCCCAAAGTAGTACTCGTGAAGATTCCACACGTCGAAAATTGACGAATATGAAAAGAAAAGAAGAAAGGTAAATCACAAAACTTAAGAAAATGGTCATCACGATTCGCAAAAATCAAGTTCGCATTAGCTCGATTACCGAAAACAAATACATAAATCTTCTTATCTTGCGATGCTAAAGTTCTCGTACTCGATCTCACTGAAATTAAAAAAAAAAAGGCCGCTTTCTATAGTAGCAACAGAGATAGATAGTACGTGGACGATAGAATAGATCAAGCGCAGTTATATCTTATCTAAAAAAATTTGATCAAGCGAGGGGCTTGATTGTAAAAAAGAAATCTAGAGCATTTTAAAAAAGAGAATCGTATATAGATTAATCGCCAATATAGCCTAGGAATATATAAAAGAAAAGGGGTCCCCAAGCTTTTAGGATTGTTGCACCCCCTAACCCCCAACCTCAAGTTCTTGAAATAGGTTGCAATATATCGCTTGCCATTGACTCTGACCAAATTTTACTTGAAGTTCCAATCACTCGACTGCATGCAATTGATTAAGCGAGGGGAGGATTTATTGCATAAAGCACACACATATAAAAAAGTAGAAGAATAATTCAAAAAAATAGACCGTGTGCGATAACATGTAACTAAAAGTTCCGGCAAGAATTTAATTGGCGTCAACACCAAAGGCACATCGATAGGCAGTTCCGAGACATACTTTTAAGTAGTCCCCATTTTTTCCCCACCTGCATAGACAGACGATACATGACCGATTTGCCTTCCAAGACAAATCACGTGCGGTTACATGGTCAAATCGGCGATAAAAAAAAAATTCGACTGGGGTCGACGGTAAGGGTGACACCCCCGTCACCAATTTAAAAAAGGAAAAATGACATAAATGGTCTATGAACTTTCACCAAGTATGCGATATGGTCCCTAAACTTTTAATTTGTTCAATATGGTCTCTGATGTTTAATGTTGGAAGGATAACATCGGACATTTTCAAGTAGTCCGGGAATAATTTGAACATATACAAAAAATTCAAAAATCACATTAAATAAATTAAAAATTTAAAGATCATATTAAATATTATATCAAAGTTCAGAAGTCGGGGGGCAAAATTTACAAGAATAGGGGTTGGAGGGCAAGGGATGGTAAATTCTCTCGGAAAAGTGCTGAGTAGGATTGAAAGGGAGAATCATCAAAAAAGAAAAGGGGGAAAGAGATCCTTGGAGGCCACAAAGGAACTTGTGGCTCAGAATTCTCCCCAGTCGGTGACGTGGCACCCCCACCTCATTAAACGGATCAAAAGACCCACGATCCCCGAGTCCACTCAACTCCTCTTCCTCCCCTTCCTCCCTTCTCTCTCTATCTCTCTCTCTAAAAAGTTGCCATTTTTTGTTCTTGTTGGATCTCGTCTGTTCTTTTTTTTTTTTTTTTACCTCTTTTCCTTCGAAAAAGGACGAGTTTTTCGGGCGACCAAAAATGTCGGGGGAGGCAAAGGACCCGGCGATCAAGCTCTTCGGGAAGACGATCTCTTTGCCCGATGTCCCTCCTCCTGGGGATGCGGCGGGGGCCGTCGACACTGGTCAGATTCCGTGCGCAGATCCTCCTCCTCCTCCTCCCTCGCCTGACGAGAATATAGGCGGGGGCAACAATGAAGTAGAAGAGGAGGAGGAGGAGGAAGAAGGGGAAGGAGGAGACCGGGATGACAAGGTACGGGTTGATCCGTGATTTTTCTTTTCCCCTGTTTTCGGAGTCTTTCTTTGGTTTTTGGGGGATGCCCCCAGTGCTCGGTTTTTGAGAATTTGAATTGGGTCGGGCTTCGTTCTTCTTGTTTGACTTAGGTTGACATGCCTTTTGCATTGATCCTGGATTCTTTTTTCTTTGCGGAAATGATGAATCTTGAAATGGGTGGGGGGGTTCTTGATTCTGAATGAACTGGGATTTGTCTGTTCGAATGAGGAGTTGAAACTGAGCATTCATTATGGAAGTTCGAGGATGTTCATGTGGGGGGGTTCTTTCTCTTTGGTGGATCTTTCCGTATGTGGATGCTTGGGGACCGAGTAGAAGCTTAGGTTGATTTCCTGGCGCTTGGGGCTTTTGCTTTTTTGTGCGAGTAAGGATCAGCTGAATATAGCTGGGATGCTCTGTGCGAGTTCATGTTTGTGAGCTGGCTCTGATCTCTATGGTTCAAAAATTCCAATCATCTCTTTCAACGCTAATTTAATCTTCTCAGACAAATAAACTGGAGACTTTTGGAGGTTCTGAAGTCGATATGATTAAGCTCTCGTGGTTTCTTCCTTTTTTCTTTTATTCCTTGACGTGACGAATCACAGCCAGTTCTTCTGTTAAAACACCCCAAAAAGGGTCTGTGATGATTGCTCTTAATAACCTGGGTTCTGGATGCTGCTACATGTTGGATCATTGCTCTATCTTTTTCTCGATCTTTTTCTAAAATTCGCTTGTCATGGCGAAGACCTCGATTCCGTTTATCTATTTATTCCTTATGAGAACCCATCGAGTCCAATCTTTCAATGAAGTCTGCCATTTACTTGTTGCATATTCAACTTCTAAAAGAATTGCAGAAAAATAAGAACATTTATAAATCTGAAAACCACCTGACTGTATTTCATTATCTGCACCATTGGAGATTGCCTAGAATATCCAATTCACTAGTTTTTGCTTAATTTAGCAATTGCCTATCTTACAGACAGTTTGTTCCTTTGCTGATTTAAGTATAGTGCTTGTATGGCTATGCCTTGAGTTGACTTCCTATTGGAATAAGTTGTGTCCATAAATGCTATCATGCCATTCTTGGCCTGTTCCCCTGTTGCAGTGGAGGTGTTTGGTTTGAACATTAGAAAATTGGTTATGGTGTGTAAACAGATGTTTTTCTCTCTATTTAGGAAACACGGAATGAGAAATCAGCTATAACCAAGCTGGAATATGGAGCCCAATTCGTGAATCTCGAGGAAGGCACAAACCAGGACACAATATCGGTGACAATGACAAATGAGAACCCTAGGACGCCATCAGTCGACAAGGAGAGCACTACTCCAAAGACGTCGAAATCAGAAGAGGAGCAGAGCGACACGAGCAACTCGCAAGAGAAGGTGCTCAAGAAACCCGACAAGATACTTCCTTGCCCTCGATGTAATAGCATGGACACCAAATTCTGTTACTACAACAACTATAACGTGAACCAGCCCCGACACTTCTGCAAGAACTGCCAGAGATACTGGACAGCTGGTGGGACCATGAGGAATGTTCCCGTGGGTGCTGGTCGCCGCAAGAACAAACACTCGGCTTCTCATTACCGTCATCTAGCCGTTCCTGAAGCCCTGCAAAGCATAAGGTCGGATTTCCCTAACGGGGTCCATCACCCACCAGTGAAACCTAATGGCACTGTCCTCACCTTCGGATCAGATACACCTCTATGTGAATCCATGGCTTCGGTTTTGCATTTGGCTGATAAGGCCATGCATAACTGCAGGAAAAATGGATTCCATAAACCTGAAGGAGTGATAATTCCAACCCCTAGTGGAAGTGCGAGAAGCGGGGTTGAGAATATGAATGGATCTTCAGCCACCGCAGCGAATTCCAACCATGCGAAGAGTAAAAATGGAGCCAAAGAAATTGTGATGCCGAATTGTCAGGGTTTTCCTCCTCAGCTACCATGCTTTCCGGGGGCTCCGTGGCCTTATGCATGGAACTCTGCTCCCTGGAGCCCACCGATATCCCCTGGCCCGCAGACTTTCTGTCCACCTGGTTTTGCCGTGCCGTTTTACCCAGGGCCAGCTTATTGGAGTTGCGGTGTGCCAGGTGCTTGGAACATTCCTTGGGTTGCCCAGCCAACTTCTCCGAACCACAGTGCCACGAGCTCCGGGCCCAATTCTCCGACCCTGGGGAAACACTCTAGGGATGAGAAAATCGTGAAACCGAACGACTCCATTGAAGAGGAGCCACAAAAGGAGGCTAATCCTGAGAGATCCTTGTGGATTCCAAAGACATTAAGGATTGATGATCCAGGAGAAGCTGCAAAGAGCTCAATATGGGCGACGCTTGGGATAAAAAATGAAGCTTCTGATTCGGCTGGCAGGGGAGTACTCTTCAAGGCCTTCCGGTCTAAGAGTGAGGAAAAGAACCATGTGGTCGAAGCTTCTTCTGTGTTACAAGCAAATCCAGCCGCAATGTCTCGATCACTCAACTTCCAAGAGAGCTCGTAATCGGGTAATTCGGAGGCTTGGTCATCAACTGGCGTTGTGAGCATCTGTTGTGCTCGAATGGTTTGTCAAAAAACAGCTGTGAGATCCCCAAGATCTTATCGATTCACCGTCCTCATTTCTGAGGATCTATGTTGAAGCCATTCTGAGAAGGAAAAAGGAACGCGATTCTTTCCCGTCCCTTTCTCTCTCTCTCTCGATCTCTCGATGTGAAAGAGACTTCTCAGCATAAGTTCCAAACTGATGATCCTCCCCCCTTCTTTTGTTTAGTCGATAGTAAAAGCGGGCGCGCCTCTTTTTTCTTTGTCAGCATAGTGATTTGGTGAGTTCATGTACGTACTAGATGTGAAATAATGAGAGCTATAAAATAAGTGAGAATTGTATTGTACTCAAGTTTTATTGTAATGTACATCAAAGTTGTAGTCTAAAGATGCTGCCTTTTGCAGGCTCTCTCTCTCTCTCTCTCTCCACTGTTCTTGTAATTACATTTATTTTGGAATCAGCGCCAAGCGTATGTTACAATCTGCAGATACTTGACTCGCTTTTGCATTTCATAGATTCAAGCAGCTAGAAGCTGAGGCTGCTAAAAACTGGTCAAGTTTGCCTTTGCTTCTCATGGGTAGGTGGAAACTTCTTCCCTTTGAGAAAGCTAAAAGGGAGTGGGACATGAACGAAACCTAGAAGGCTAATCTGGGCAAATGATATTGAAACTTACCTATCCCAGAAAAAGAAAAAACCACCTGTATCTCTCTGGTCTTAACCGGTCCAAATTTTCGTGGCCACAGAACATAATCGATGCAAGCGGCGTGTCGTCCGAATCAAAATGGGACTTGATGTCTTCGATTCGATTAACATGCAGGATCGATCGACCAAAATCAATAAAATAGATGGTTTCATTGTTTTTTCCTTGACAGATATTGCAGCAGATAAGAGAACTTAAGATATTTTTGGTCGCTCGGACAGGGGAAACTTAGATCCACCAGTTTTGTATTGACAGGCAACAAACCATGAGCTGTTCATGGGCCACCAAAGCACGTGATGCACTCAAAACTTCTTCTTGGCTTTTCCACCTATTGCTTTTCCTTCCTTTTTTCTCGATAAATCCCTTTAACTCCATAAATTCTCGAGAATGCACATGAGCTTTCTTGTTAACACGTATCGAGTAAGGCTCTGTTAACACGTATCGAGTAAGGCCCTACCCTCGTAGCGCTGGGTGTGGTGTAACGAAAGTTGCCTTCACTTGGACTAAATGTTTAACCACTCTGACCAATCTACCAAAGGTTGCACGGTGTGATGATCTGTCCTTGTTTCTGAACCCACTTTTCACCTAACAAAAAGCTCTTTTAACCATCATCTTGAACTTCCAGTAGCTGTTGAGATAAGTACAGTTCAAAGTAGTTACAGAAGAATTTCGGCCGCTCAAATTACATGGGCCCTTCTCCCCCTCGTTTTCTTCAGTGACTGAGACACTCATGATAGGAACTTGCTACTCTTATGCAATATCTTATATGCGAGGCTCCTGAGAAACTTCAAAATTCTAAGAGCGGCGAAGCTCTTTTGTGGCTGTGCTTCACCGAGGCGATTGACCCTTTTCACGGTGCGTGTTGGCCAACAGCGACAGCACTTTTGTTGCCTGGAAAGTGCTCTTGCTTAGCACAATCAGCCTTTGTACGGCTTTAGTTTAACCCCTATTTTAATTAAGGGATATTTAGAAAAAAAAAAGCAATATCTGTGTTCGTTTCCGGAAAAATATTTTTCCGGAAAACATTTTCCGCGTTTTCCGGTGTTCGGGGGCAGAAAATGTTTTCCGTGGGAAAATATTTTCCTTCCCCACCCCTAAATCCTTCATTGTTTTGAGGAAAATGATTTCCTCTTTTCATAAAGAGGAAATCATTTTCCCCCAAAGTGAAGGCAAAATTGCCCATGGGAGGGAAAATGTTTTTTGTGGGAGAGGAAGTTGCTCGTCGGCCGCTGGTCGCCCGCCGCCGGCCGCCGCCGTTGCGCTGTTCGCCACCTCCGCCGCCGCCGCTGCCGCGCCACCCGCCGCTCGCCGCCGCCGCCGCGCCGCCCGCGCCACGTCGCCGCCACGCGGCCGGCGGTCAGCGAACACCGGAAAATATTTTCCGAAACTTTTCGATTTTAGCCGAACACGAGAAAATTGTGTACCAGGAAAATATTTTTCAGGAAAATGACTTCCGGGAAAATATTTTCCAAAAGGAGAATATTTTCCGCTAAACGAACGGAGCCTAAGTATACTAAGACCAATTCATCAAGTGACGTCGTAAAGTCAAGTGAAACGATAGATTTTATGATGTGTTAAATATATCCGCTCATGTAAATGTTCATTGACGGCTTGTCATGTCATCTTTGTTAGTAAAATATCCGTAATTTTATATAAAACATAAGGTTAATACTACGAAAAACTCCAAACTGGTATGTCTATGACAATTTTACCCCGAATTAATTTTTTGACCATAAAAAATTCCAAACTGGTACACCTGTGATAAATTTATCCAAAACTATTTTTTTTACCACAAAAAACCCTACATTGGTACACTTGTGACAATTTTACCATGAATTATTTTTTTGACCACCACAAACCCTAAACTGGTACACCTGTGACAATTTTACCCCCAACTAATTTTTTGACCACTAAAAACCGTACACTGGTACATTTGTGACAAATTTACCCTCCGTTAGTATTCATTAAATGAGATTAATATCACGAAAAATCACAAATTGATAAAATTGTGACAAATAGAGGGGTAAAACCCCAAACTGGTATACCCGTTAACTATTACGTGTCATCAAACTTAGCAATTTGACCGTCAAATTTAACGAAAACTAACGGAAGGTAAATTTGTCACAGGTATACCGGTTTGAGATTCTTGCTGGTCAGAAATATTAGTTAGGGGTAAAATTGTCATAAGTGTACAAGTTTTGGATTTTTTGTGGTAAAAAAAATAGTTTGGGGTAAATTTGTTACATGTGTACCAGTTTGAGATTTTTCGTGGTATTAATCCTAAAACATAATTGTTACATAATTCTAAATAAAACTTTCGCCTTCCGCATGTTTGCCGAGCTTACAAACAAAAATGCTCATTATTTGGGAGTGAAACGAATGATACGCATATAGAACACATGTAGGTATTATGCTCACGTAAAAGTACTTCAATTCTACACGTAATTTACGTCTTTTATTTTGTCAATTAACAACGAATGTGTCAAGAATTATTTATATGCGGAAATTATGATTATTTGGTTTCATATCTATCGAAACAAATATAATATTCCTGTGCTTTCTCACTAGATAACATAAGTTAGTAAAAATCCAGTTATTGGATACGAATATATATGTATAAAATCTTGTACTTTAAAAAGTCCTATTTTAAAATATATATATATATATATATATATATATATATATATATATAAGCATTTTTTGTTTATAATACAATTGATATGACATTATGATAACATCATTTTCTGATTTTATTAGAACAACGCCAAACTTTATTAATGTGCTTTAAAGGAAAATGATGATATATACCCGTCCGTGTCTCGAACCGTCCTGCCCCGATTTATCAACAGAGTATGTCATTCGTAAAACAAAATTTCATGAAATTGTCATGACATTACCCAACACTAATGTCTACAAACATAATTTGTTTTTCAAATCCATCCGATCCTTACTGGTGTCAAATCTTCAACCTCGGTCCCATGATAGTTCATGGGCCTCGCAGGCTGCCCGGGTCAAAACGTTCATGTCCGACTCGAGTTGGCCTACTGCCGGCCCATCGAAGCCCAGATTGCGTTTTAGTTAATGAATGAGTGAGTGACAAAGTTGAGCTAGGCCCAACCCACCAAGTGGAGCATCTAATTTGGGCCTCAAGATACATATCCTACGTACTAAATTGATTAATGTTCACTATATCCTTAAGAAAAGGAGCCTAATTAGTATCGCACAATAATGTCCGGCAAATCATGCTAAAGATGAATAATTCGTTTGTTTCGCGAAAAATATTTTCTAGGAAAACACTTTTCTTATTTTCCGACGCTTGGTTTGCTTAGAAAAATAAGTTAACGGAAAATGTTTTCTTACAAAACCTTAAATTCAGGAAAATGATTTACTCTCTGAAAGAACCGGAAAACGTTTTTCGAAATATGACTTTCTATCGGCGCTTGGACCCGAAACTCTACGCTTGGGCACGAAAACCCCAATGTTGGTTCCCGTGTCCCAACATTCAGGACTAGCTCTCGGTAGCCGAGCTTGGGACCTCGGTGTCCCGGGTCTATCGAGGCTGAGCCCGAACCCCTAGTGCCCATACTCGATGCTCAGGCACCCGAATTGGGTCCATAAAGGCTGTGCTCAAGTCCCCGATGCTTTAACTCTAGCCTCGACCCTCCGGCTCGAGTCCATGGCCGTGTGCGGGTCCTTAGTTAATGAAACATTTGTTTTTATAAAAAATTCGAATTTTTAACTATTTGTAAAAATCGAATTATTTATTATTTTCTTTTCTTTTTTTTCTTTTTCTTTTTATTTTATTTTTCTATTCTTTATTTTTTTATTTTCTTCCTTTTTTTTTTCGACTGGCCGGTGAGCTTGCAGCCCCTGGCGGTGAGCCTCAAGCTCGCCTGAGGCCGGCAAGCTTGGGGCTCGCCAGATCGGGAGAGGCTGGAGCTCGCCTGTGGCCAGCAATCAGCCAAGGAAGAAGAAAAATAAAATAAGAGAAAAGAAAAAAAAAGAAAAGAAAATAATTAAAAAATTAAGAATAAAAATAATTTAAAATTAAAAAAAAAATACAATTTTTAAAATAATTTTCCCCATTAGATTTTTCTTCCCAAATGATTGAAAATACTTTCTAGGTCATTTTTAGGTTTCGTCCAAATATCGAAAAATGAAGTCATTAATCCTGGAATTGGAAGTATTTCCCAAAAATGTTACATTTTTCGGAAACAAACGGACCCAAAATGTTCTTTCTTTTTGCAAACAATCATGAAGAGGTGCAACTATTCTATATGAATCAGCATTCTAAGCCTTTACAAATGTTCCATTGCCTTGTACTCGTTAAAAATACCTAAAAAAGTCTGACAAAAAAAAATATCTAAAAAAGACAATGGCCTTGTCTCCCTCCATTGCCGAAAACCTAAAACAATCCTGGGATTCTAAGACAATGGCCTAATCTCCATCTCGTTTGCCCTCGGTTCTTCTTGTTCTGACTCTTCTCTTTCTCTGCATCTCTCTCGGTAATGCCCTCGAACTCATAGTAAAAGGCCTAGCAACTTTTTTTTTTTTGTGGTGGCATATGTTGCTCGAACATCATGATTTCTCACTCACACACACATTTTGAATTTTCAAGGACTTGCTGCAAATCATGGAGGAGGTCCTCACGATGATGCTGCTCCACTGAAAGTTTGTCTCTTGTTAT